TGTAGGTGGCTTAGGACGCAGCCACGCGGGATGCAGTATTACTGATGTGCCCTTAATCCCACACTGAACCAAAGCCTCAGTGTAACAGTTCTTTTAGCTGCTGGTGATTTTATAAGAAATAAACTCTCTTGCTGAACCAGCAGGAACACTTTTCCTATGAAAAACTACTTTGTATGCTTTTTGCCAGAACTGTTTTTAAAGACAGTGCCCTGTTCTATCTATCAAAGGAATAAGCATCGCTTCCAAAGTCTAGTCTTCCAGAGTCACATAATACCGGAGAAGCTGCTATATATTAAATCTATTACATTTTTCCTATAATTATTTTTAGTTTTGGAATGCTAAAATTAAAATTCCTATTCCTGGAACTAATTATTAGTTTAATATTCTCAGAGGGAATTAATTCGTATAATCCTAGATCCAAACATCTATTTCTAGTCTCATCAACAGAACACAAATGACGCCTTGCACAAAACGCTACTGCAAAATTATAATTGTGTTAATTACAGCCAACGCATTTCCAGAGCTTCTGTTTATAAATTCAGACATTACTCTCTTGATTTGTTCAGCCTTAGTAGTAATAATGCGATAAATAGTAAATAAAGCAAGTATTTAATCTGTGTGTTTACTGGTGGGAAAAAAAAAAAAAGTTTCTTAGACTCCAAGATAATTAAACTAAAGAGATACTTATACTTGCAACTGAACATTTGAACATTGAAATAGTTTCTCTCTTAACATGATATTTAAAAGAACATCACCCAAAAATACACAAAGGGACGGATTAACCTAAACAAGCACAGAAATAAATTCAGTAATAAAAAATGTCTCTCTGCTAATAGATTTATTGCATAATAAAAAGCAAATTAAGTACAGGCTCAGACGAACGCAATTCTAGCGAAGTGCATATAGAGACATACGCAAGTGAAGAATTTAATCTTCCTTAATCTTCTCACGTGGTACGATTAATCACCCACCTGTGGACTCTGGAAGAGGACTGTTACAAACAACAGCAACAGTGTAAAATTACCAGAGTTATGCCACTATACAGTTCTGCTCCTGAACAAAAGACTGCATTCCCCTACTCCCTCTTGCAAATGTGATGCAGTAGCGTGCGACTTGCAACACCACAGAACAACAGTCTTTGTTGCGACTGGTTCCTATCAGCGATACCCTCTGTGTGGCTGCCAAAAAGGCTAAAGGTCCATCATCAGCTAAGCGTGGATGAAAATATAAGGCCATATGTAGGTTGCGTAACTTCCACTAAAGCAGTTCAGCAACACCGTTTTTTTTTGGTAAACAGGGAGCTGGTGTCACCAGCGATCAATGAGCAGGGCCTGGGAAAGGTGCTGAGCAGCGAGCCGGCGCGGCCAGGCGATGGGGAAAGGCGGATGGAGGAGCACTGGAGGACGGAGGCTGCCTCGGTGGGGTCCCAGCACCTGTAAAAGCCTGTTGAGACTCGGCCCCCAGACAAAAATGGTGTGTCCTTGTCATGTAAAAAGATCATCCCCATTCTCAAGAGCTGTGTGCAGGATGCAGTTTCAATCTAGACTCACTGTACATTGCTACACCTGTCTTAAAACCTCTTTTTAGATTTAAAAAGAAGAAACTACCTGCCTGTGTATGTGAATCTGCTACCTCACAAACAGGATTACCTTGCTTAAAATACACCTACGCTCCTTGTGGCTCTGGTGAGCGCCTTCAAAACATTCCAATTAATTTCACGCGGGGCAGAATACAGGTTTGCTAAGGGCTGCAGAAAGCAGGGTTAAACATCAAGATTTGTCTAAAACCATGCTTTTAATTTCAGGCTATTAACACCAGTACCCCTGTACCTCACGTCGTATTTCAAGTTTGGACCAGAACCCACACAAATGTCCACACACACCCGACTTTGAGCGGAGGCCAACCCATATTTACAAATATAAAAATAACAGAACAATAGCACAAAACAGGCATAATCTCTGGGAAACAGCGCAAGAAGAAAAACCTGTAGGTTTTTACAGCCTCGGTGCACGCCCAAACACACCGCTCCCTGCGGTTTTGACTGAGCAAACACATTCTCCCAAGCTGCCCCATGTAACCCCTTTGTCCCTGACACTATGTCAAGAGATCACTCTTAGAATCGTTCCCACGTCACCTGTCAAAGGGCAAGCTGTAATTACAGATAGCTTTAAAATCTGGGGGAGCCGCAAGATGTGATGAATAACTGCGTACCTGAGGCTTAGGTACCAACGAGCAGCAACAGCTCGAGCAGGGTGAGTGAGTAACCGCAGCCTCTGCCATCGCGGGCAGAAACATCAGCGGAGGGGAAAGGGCACCAAGAGCACTGAGCCGCAGTCCCGAACGCGACTGCGCCGCTTCTCAGGGCTACAAACAGCCTTCCTCAAGGGTAGGTGGGACAGCAGCGAACCCAAAATGCGTTCTAAGGTTAGCTCACGATTACACTTCCAGGCTAATTACTGGAGAAGACTCCTAAAGATAAGAAAGAGCTGAACCCAGAAGTAAATCTGCTCTTCTCCCCGAAGACTAAGCTAATGTCTTTTTTTTTTGTCCCCCTTGAGCTGGTGCACATCTCGCAATGCGCTTAGACGCCAGGACTGGAAATCAAACAGCCATGTCCTGAACAAGCATCCACCCCAGCAGCCCAGGACAAAGGAGGGACGCTCCTCTCCAAGGGAAAGGCGTCCCATGTTCTCAGTTCTCTATGCAAAACAGGAATCAGTAGCTCAAAAGGTAAAACTGACCATTGACAAAAGGACAGAGAAGTCACATAAATACAGTCTCTGACTCAACCAGCCTTCAGACTCTAGATCTCACCAGAAACAGGTCAGAATAGGAAGTTTTATATAACTGTGATTTTAAATTCTCCCTTGTTTCTCGTATAAAAAATATACAAACACTTAATTTTTGTATCTTATTTTGCATAATGTTTGGACTTTCTTCTTCTTAATGACACAATTTAAATCGAACAGCCAGAAGGCCATTCATGTAACAAAATATTTTTAACCTTTTTCAAGAAAATTGCAGTAAATCTGAAGACGTACAGATGAGCAAGTGGTATAAAATAATGTGAAATGTTACAGTATTCTCTTTACTTTGCCTGTATTTAGAGAGCACCTTGCTTCAGAATACAAACGCAGCTCCTGCAGACAGCCCCCAGGGCTGCCAGGCTCCACGCACCCTGCGCCGCAGTGGTTGGACTACCGGAGCAAATCATCAGTCTTTGGCCAGCGAGTCGGTCAGCGGTTTGACCAGAGTATGCAGAAACCCGTGCAGGAGCAAAACTCCCAGTAGCTCATGACAACGTTACAATACAGAACCCAAGAGCCTGCTGAAGCGCAGGGCTGGTGGAAGCTCCCGAGCGGCCCCAAAGCACCAGCTCTTCCACAGCGGAGGCTTCTCTTCGCTCATACTGGACCTGTCACATTAAGCAGCTCCCGAAAGCATGTGGTAACAGCAAGGACGTGATTTTCTTTGCTCTCCTCTGTGTTTAATTCTCCCCCAGCTCTGCACCCCTCACAAATTATTCTAAAAAAAAGAATTACCGTCCCTACTCCTTCATTAATGAAATCACGCCAGTAAACACTGAGTTTCGCTGCTTTTCATATGCAGACACCTGTAAGAGTGTATCAGTCAGGGGAAAAAAAAAATACAGTATTTTATATTACCAAGAACACACACGAACTTTCAACAGAAAGTTGTAGTCAAACACAGCGTTGCTGCCTGAACGCCTGAAAGAATTTTAGTAGACAGACTCTTCTGAAGAAACCAAAAAAGGAAAAGCAACAACATAAATTAATGCAGAAAAAAAAAATCTGATTTCCAGCTGTAACCATCTCAGGTGTAGCAGATAAATACGACTTACGTCTACGATTTTAAATACCCTCTCTAAATTTTATGTAATGGCAGATTAAAGAAAAAAAAAATCCAGTTTTTCTAAGTATTATGATATACTGGCCATGGCACACAGAGAACCAATGTGATACTGTTATCAGCTGCAGCTGTTCAGTTACTCAAAAGCCTCCCCCACCAAACCTGTAGTGTTTAAGATGCAGCAGAAAGGGAGGTATATTGACGTCCAGGTGATACTGAAACTTAAAGCAAATCTTACTAGGGTGAAAATTCTGTGGAAAAAAGGAATAATGAAAGAATAAAACAAAACAAAACAAAACAAAACTAAACCCCCAGAATAAAATCCCGAGTTATCACAGTCTCAACTGAAAAATTGCCTCAGGTTTTTCACATAAAACTGCATTACTGCCTGGGTAAACTTTTCCCATGATTCCCACGGCCCTTTATAGTAGCAGCACAACTAACTCAACCCAGGAGAGTTAAAATTAACCGTTGTAACCACGCAAACTAATTTGCCAGAGCACATGCCAGCCAGCCACGATATGAAATTATTCTCAACTCTACTAGTCTGACCAAAGTGAACTCAACGGAGGATAAACATGCTGCACCTCCTATCAGATCAGAAAATTCCTTTGGATATGCTGCAGTGCTCTACCACTGCCTGCCCCAGCTCTGAGCACGCTAACAACAGTTATACTTTTCCCATTATATTTTATATATATTTTATAATAAAAACCCCCTTGCTTATAACTTGCAAGTTCAGTGGCTCGTGCCACACTGGTAACTTTTAACGTGCCAGGAAAACCAGTCACACCTAACTTGCACAAATACTCGAACCACCAAAAGAGGCAAAGTTCACCCTTGGCTGGAACATGTGCAGGATCCTCCGCATGTGGGTGGAGATGGCGTTGCACATCTTCTGCAGTGGAAACCAGCTACTTTCTCATGTTTGAAACTTCCAACAACCCAGTTTTCCACAAATCTCAGCTGCTTAGTCTTTTTCTTCTCTTTCTTCCAAGAGGAAAGAAGCATGTTAGGTCTCTGGGCCTAAAAAGTTATCTTTTAGCCTCTAGCCCCAAATTTAGAGATGCGTGTATCTGACAAGAAGACACAGGAAAACACATAATCAAAACTATTCTTTATTAATGATTTCAGAAGTCATCTTCTGAGTCATAATCCTCAATTTTTCGCGGTGGCCGCTTAATGCTGAGTATTAAATCAATGGAGAGCAGCTCTGTAACACAATGAAGAACTGAAACGACCAACTGGTATTTGCAATACACCGACTCTAAACCTTTCTCGGTCACAGGCAGTGGCTGATTTTTTCTAAGTGCATTTATGGCTCTGAGATAGAATTTGGGAAAGCTGTTTTGGTTGGCGGTCCCGTACAAGGCCTTGGGAACACTCAGCAAAGCATCAGCAACTACGTTAGCTATGACAGTTACCTCTGACTGCTGACACTGTTTCGCATAGTTCTGAATATAATAATGTAGAAGGATTTCAAAGTAACCTCCTACTGGCAAAACTGATCCTGCTTCTATGAGGCAGTTGGAATAATTCTGTGCAATACTTGCACAACCCTTTTCATGTTTAAACAGAACTGTATTGCAACTTGTTTTCTCCAGATCTTTGCCAATATCTAGGCGTTCACATGCAGTGACCGTATCAGCACCAGCACTGTAGGTCTTTTGATCGTCTGCAAGTGAATGACTTTTGTGCCTCTCACAGGCGTCACCCAGGCGATCGCATTTTGTGTGTGGTTTCTGTACCTCTCTCAGAGAGCCATCCCCTTCAGTGGCAACACTGAATTCTTTGATGGGCGAGGTGGGATTTGAGTGTATTTGCAAGTCTGTTTGCACACATGCTGGATTTTCGCTTCCCTGAAAACCAGGGTCTACAATTCGTGTCTCTGTTTCATGCCTACGTGCTTTCAGCTGACATTCAGAAACCTGATTACCGTTACAAGAAATATTTTCTATTACAAGTTGCTTCTGGGTGGCTGAAGAATGCCAACTGCAAACATCTGGGGCTTCGTTCTGGCTATCACCTTCTGCTTTGCATGCCTCCCTCTGATCAACTGTTTTAAACAGCTGCTGCAGCATCATAAACGCCCCTTGTAAAGCAGCAGCATGTTGCTCATTAACACCATCGACCGGGCCACAAAGAACCAGGTAATGGGGCTGAAAAGCGCCCACACTGGTGAAGCCAATGTGAACGCATCTCTTTGAGCCGAGCAGCAAGGGCTGGCAAAACGTTGCCACTGTGGTTTCCGTGACTTCTCCATGTATGTTATCACCAAAAGGTGAGTAAGGTGAGACTCCTGTGATTTCACAGATAAGGGCCATTTCTTCCGAGGACAAGCACTCTACAACAGACACACCGTATAATTTTGCATAGTAGATCACTACTTCCTCTTGCTTCACACTCGACAGTAACAGCTTAACGCCGTTGCGTTTCAAGTGTTTCATTAAGGCTTCCGTCCTCCTTGTGATCCAGCGCAGGGAGGCCTCATACTGCCCCTCGGAGTCGAC